AGATGTAGTTCGGCGCACAGCGTGAATCCGCACTGCACTTCTAAACATCTTCGAGTTAAATATGCCGCGTCACTTTTTTTGGAACATATTCACGTAGACGTTTCCCGGAAAGCTCGGTACGGTAATGCACTGATAAGTGGAGGAATGGCCAGAGTAAATAGCCTCCATCCGCGGAACTTCAGGGTTCCAAAGTACACGCGCTTCGTTGACTGAAGTCCAACAATATCCAGTCGGTACCTTGCGGGCTCATAACTAGATCCTGTTTTTTCACAGTGAATGAGGAGATGTTCCAAACCGTGAGCTTCTACTGGCGTTCTCGTTCCAGTAGAACCTTGTTCACATGTTATAATGTGGCGCGTGTCACAATTTTCAAAGAGGTCTGCTTAGAAATCCGCAGGCAGCAGTTTCAGTTCTGCTTGAGGGCAATCTCTGCCTTATTCGCGAATTCCGTTGAGCAAAGAATTCACCACACACTGTTTCAGAACTCAGTGCCGATAGTGTCACGAGTTTCAGCCACCGAGGTTGAAAAATGACTGCCACTTTGTAAGAAGAGAACAGGAAACGGCACGCGCTGCGTTTGGCACACGGTTGTAGACCTGCCTTAAAGAATAAGGTACTCCTGGATGATGGCATAAAAGCGGAGATCAGCAGCATATCACCAACTTCATGAAAAGAAAGACACCAAAATGGGCCAATCATGAAATGACGGAAGACTGACATTCCAATTATGACTAACTTTCCTTTCTTTCCTTGAATGCTATAATGGAATAGTTGTCTGCTTGCTCGTTTCAGAATGTGCAGCGGCTCTATTGCCTACTGGTATCTTCGTTGCCGTCGATCTTCAACAGTCATTGTCGTGCTGCTAAGCCCGCGATTACCAGAGGTTCTGATCGCTGGCTTTAAGCAGTATGTCTGAGTTTCCCAACAGCCTGTGTTGCCCTAGGTATCCCCGGGCGACGATCGATCTGGCACGTTTTATAAAGACAATAGCATGTGCGCTGGGACAAAGTTTCACGGAAACCTCGTGACGGTACTGACCATCCTAAAGTTTCAACTGCATTTTGGGACCGGCAACGGAATTCATGTAAATACTTGCTCTGCAAATGTAATTCTACTGGTTTACTGCAGTTGGCACACTGGCCATATGAAATGAGTAGCATCCACGGACCAAAAAAACTCTGGCATGTTATAAACGGCTATACGTAGAACCAAGAATGTAAAATACGAAGCACAGAAAAGTAACAAATAGATTAAAACAATCAAACACGCTTACTTGTCAAGCCATCGAACATATCGCAGCCAAAGGGCGCCATCGAGACAGTGGTCAGCAACCGCCCTCTCGAAGAGGCATTGTAACCGTGCGGGGTTTTTCAAGGTTTCTTCAAGGTCGAGGTACTTCGAATAGACGTCAGCGGTTTTTTTACCGGCTTCTTTCAGCTGTGATTCGAACGGTTTCAGTTGGGCCAGTACTTTCAGTGCACTTTTGTAATTGTAGTCCAATGATGAATCCACTGCTTCAGCCCCAAATGTCTCTGTGTAGTCCTAAAAGTTCCGACTCAGAAAAGGATAGCAATCCACTATACAACAGTAGATATGAAATAATGTGAAATAGAAGTACGGTGGTATCCGAAAAGCTGTTCGTTTTCTACGACTTACACAACGCAGTGGGATTAATAGGAGATGGAATTCTCGCTGAAAAATATAGTAAATCTTA